GAGACCCCTGCCCTGCCCTGCCCCGCGGCGTGGCTTCCCGAAATGGTCTTCCTCGGTCTTTCGAATCGGGTCTGACACACGTAGGGCGCAGATCGGTCCCGGGGGGCTGTCCCTCCTTCCCGTCGGCTCCAACATGCCCTCCAAAGAGTGCTGGTCAGGGCACAGGGCGGCCAGGTCCGCGGTGCACAGCGCGAAGCCGGAGAGCCGCCAGCCAGATCTGTTGATAGCGGCCTTGGGGATGAAACTGCGTGCTCGGAAGTCGTCTGTGACAATCTGGCAACCCCTTAAACTCTTTGCTTATTCGCAGTTGACATCGCTTGTCAGAAGAGCGACGCTGAAAGAAAATGAACATATTCCAAAATACGAGAAGATTCATAACTTCAAGGTAAGAAATTATACTATTTCATTCTGAGGCACAGGGGCTAGAGTTTTTATTTTAAAACGGCTCCACTATTATAAAGAAATAACATACATGTAGACTGTGACTTCCTGGGAACTTATGTGCTTCGGTTAAATCTCATTGCTGGTTAAATCAGTTAGACATCCTTGGAGCGTATCAGCAGAAGAACAAAGATTTTGTTATTGACCACTTTTCTGCATGTATTTGTTTCAATAATACTTGCAGTATCTAGATTACCTCTTTTCTTTAGAATTGTTTCATATCGAGAAAGATGGTAAAGGTGAGAAAAACTGGCACAGTTTTCTTTCAATACAAGTAAATGTAGTTCAGTTTTACTTACAATGATAACGATTAACGATTAAACTGATCTTATCTCAGTTTGTCGCTGGTAAATAGCTTTGGAGGTAAGAAGCGTGTTCTACTGCATCTGGATTGAGCAGATGGGCTGCATTTCCTTTGGTTTCTGGCTTTTCTCCTGTGTTAATGAATTGAATGTGTTGAAAGCAGCATGGCTTATACCATGGGGCAGTTGAGCTGCTGGCACTAGCAACTACCTTGTGTCTTAATAGAATTACTTAGTCTTCTTTGTAGCTTCTGGTTATCATTTTAATTATTTTAGTGATGCTCTTTGGTAAGAGAGATGTGTCAGTACAACATACGCATGTGTTGTGTATCTGTAATAAGTATCTAGTAATGATTTAGTAATTTAGCCTTTTGGTGGTGAAATGCATTGCAAAATAGACAGTCTTTATTTGTAAAACTAAGTGGATTGATGTTGCACTGAATTCCTGTAGATGATGGTACAAACTTTGTATATAGTACCTGAAGCCCAGATTTGATCTTTACCGGCCGGGGGGGAGATGGGTGTTCACTTGTGTAGCTTTTGCTTTTATTTTAGGAGAAAGGTAAATCATTAATACAGTACAGGCATCTGATGGTATAAGCCTCTGTTAATTGTTTTCAGTTTTGATTTCTATCACACACATGTGTATGTGTGAATAAACATCTGTGCACATGCAAATATTTACATATTGTCCATCTGATTTCATTTAAACCACCTTCTGGCTTTTGAGTTTGGATAATCACTAAAATTGGAAACTTTATATGGTAAGGATGTTTTGTTTTACTTGCGTTCTTCAATAAAACACGAATTTGAAAACTGTGTGCAAAATGTTGTATAAAAAAAAAGTGTTTAATATGAACGTGTAGCATAGAATAATCCTGCTGGCTCTCAGTTAAATGCAGAGCATTTTTTCATCTGGTCCTGAGGTGTCCTAGGGATCTGAAATGTCTTGCAACTTTCACTTGTTCTTACAGTTTGAAGATAATTCTTTCAGATGCCAGCAGGTAGCGATTTTCAGCGTACTACAGGGGTATGTAGGATATACCACATGTTTAATTTTGCGCACATCTGTATTCCTAAATTGCTTTCGTTTAACAGCCTGAAACAGATCTGTTTTGAAAATAATCCACTAACCTGATTTTCATTTGTTTGGGTTTGTTTATTTGTTTTTCTTCCAGAAACTGTTTGTAGAAAGTTTGAAAGCTGTGAGTTTTCCAGACTTTTTTAAAAAACAAACTATGTGTCTGAGCCAAGGTCAGCACGAACTTTCCACACAGATTGTTTTCTTTAAAATAGTTGTGGTGTGCTTCCTTTATGTGTACAGCTGCCAGAAAAATATACCTTGAGAAGTAATGCTTCTTAAGTCTTTTCTCAAGAAATGGAGTCGCCTTACACACATAAATTTTGTTATGAAAAGGTAGAAGGGAACAAACCCCTTACGCCTTAAAATGTGTGCAGCCTACCTGCTGAAGGAATGCTGCTGACATTCATAAGCTCTTAATGTGGCCACTGTCCCATTTTAAAAAAAAAAAAAAATCATCATCCCTTAATAATCACTGCATTATGGATCTGAAATGAACGGCTATCGTTAATTCATGTGCTTCTCTCCTTCATCATTCCTTGCATCTGTCAGATTTTTCTCCGCACGTGTATAGATATCATCATTTATAATGTCTGCAGAAGTCTCCTAGTTGCCTGCCAAGCAGCAAATATGCCACCCACGTGGGAAGGAAGGAGATGTCAGGCCCAGAGTCTTGAAGCTGAACTTATGAAACAAAACAAGAATAAACAGCAAATGAAATGTTTATTTTGTTCATTTAACCGACCATGACTGCTGTCCCCAGAGGCTCCACTAGCAAAAAGGAGGACACATGCTGCTTTGTACCTCTGCAGCTAATCTTCTCTTCATTATATAGGCCTGAGGCAACAGCTAGGGACCCCTAACCCTTTCCTGGCTACTGCTTTGATCAGTCTCATCGCTAGTCACGTAAATGGAGGGGTCTCAGAAATCTTTTTTCATTCATATATATAAAAATACTGGAAATGCTGTAACGTCCCAGCAGAGGGAGGAGACATGAAGAATCATTTATGCACAACAAATAGTGCTTTTGTCTTGGAGAAGGGAAAAAGACTGCAGCAGGCACTCCAGGGGTGGCTGTGGTTAGCAAACACCCAGGAGGCTTGGCCACCAGGAGAACTCACACTGCACCTCATGTCCCAATAGCATGTGTATGTGGGGATGCAAGGTGGAGTTTGAACCCTCAGACAGCTGCCTCCAGCAAAGCTCAAGTGGAGGAATACAGTAGCAAAGGAGCAGTGTAGTGATGCTCCTTACAGAAGTGCAGATGCCTAGGGAAGGGGTGAACATGAAAGCTGCATTTGACTCTTAAATTGTCAAGAAGTCTCCTGAATAAATCTATTCATCTATGTTTTGCTCCAAGGGTTGTTTGAAAGAGGAATGTAAAGACAGTTCTGCTCAGAATGCTGACATGGCTGGATTTTTGGGGGGTTTTAATCGTGTGTAGATCTGCAGGAATGTGAGTTGTCTCCTGCCTGAAGTGAGCAGGCTGGCTAGCTGGGGTGACAGTGGCACTCTATGGGCAGAGCTGGCTGGTAATGACCTCCTCCAGCTCCACACTGTTCTTCTGACTGGGGAGGTCTGTTCTTTAATTAGCACATCTCAAATGCAGATAGATACACAGTGGCCGAGTTCTCTTAATCTCCATAAGTAAAGAAAGGGATGATGATTTAGAAAGGTCAGCTCTGACAGAGTTTTTAATACCTGTTCCTCAGGAGAAGAGCTAGGTGTTAAAAATACTTCATTTTTAAAGTGCATTTGGGCTTATTCTAAATCATAAAAAGTTTTCAATTGATTTTTCTGTGTTCTTCTCTATAAACCTAATATAAAAGATTAATTTTCTATTAATTCAAATATATCAGGTAAAAGAGATCTACCTTGTTTGACGCAGCATTTTACTTAGCTCTAATTGAGCAGTGGGATTTGAAGGTGAGCTAGGACTGTGAGTGTGACTTCATTGTATCTCTCTATTTGCATATTTGATTTCTTTTGCTTTCCCTCTGTTTACTCTTCTTTTCTGAAATCCAGCACACTGAGTGAGATCTCTTCTTAAGGGACCCATCAGACCAAATCAGTCACTTCACCATCCTCAAAATCTCAGCACCACCTTCTTTTACAGAAAAGCTTGTACTCTCTTTCAGTTTCTTTCCCATTATGGGAAGAAGTCTCCCCACACTCTCTGGTACACATTTATCTCTCTGGACACGTGTGTGATGAATATCAAGTTCATTCTTCTACCCAATGTAGATGACCAATAGCATCTTCTATTTGAAAGCTGTGAGAGGCCTGGAGCACTCTTTGAAGGTCTGACAAGGAGCATTGCCGAAGCCAGTGGTGTTATTTTCTTACCAAAAAAAAAACTTTATAATATGGGAAGGTTCCTTAACATTGTAGATGGACAGAGTAGTTTTATACCTAATGGATCCATAAATTTATTCTACAGCAATAAGAATACTTTTATCTGTGCCTCATAAATCTCGTATTTGCTTATCTTGTCCCCTAAGTACAACAAGTGTGATAGTTTGTTGATTAAAATACAATTTCTTACCTAGCAGGTATCTGATCCATTCAAAAGTTTTAAGGGGAGGAAGCAGCTGGGCACATCCTGAGCCGGCAGGTTAAGGAGGAGCTTCAGGCAACAGCAGGAGGCTCAGATTTGAGGGGAAAAGGGCCTGTGGCAAGGTGCTGTGGGGATTGAAACATTACGGGTTGAGAGGAGGACCAGGGGCAGTTCCGGTTTGGAATGTGTGAGGTGGCCTTTAGGCCAAAGGATTTATACAGCAAGGGAGTCCAAGCTGGGTTTACAGTTACCCCATCTCTTCTCGCTCCGATGAGGCAGTGATTGTTGGGGTACTAAGCACACAGGATTCCCCTTGCTCAGTCCTCCAGGCTTTCCCCCTTTACATCTCGTCATCTCTCCATCTACCCCCTACATCCCGTACTTTTTTGCTGTGAGAAAAAAAGGATGTGCAGTGAGGTACCTTCTGCCCTGAGTCCAGCCCTGCCTGACGTGGAACGTGTTCTGTACCATTTCCCCTCCTCGTGCTGTGCTTTGGACTTGGGCACTGACCTCACTCCTTCGCCTGCCATTTGTGTGGGGTTGGAGAAAACAGTAAAACTGTGCTTGAAAAATTATAATGGCAAGGAGGGCAGTCACAGAAGAGGAGCACGAGCTGAGAGTTACAGGTTGATGCTTAAAAGGAAGAGGAAAGGGAAAATTTGTGATTAACAGTGAGAAGTCTCTTGGTTGGTGAAACTTCTTAGTCAGTGCAACAACCTCCCTTCACTGGGCAAATTTAAAATAAGCCTGGACAAAACACCTTAAAGGTCTTTACTCCCCTCCAGCTTGTGTGACTCATGGTTCTGGGGAATTTTTAGCTCCCTTGACTGATGATAGGTATTCCTGCAGACACCTCTGGCTCCTGGTGACTTGAGCCAGCAGAGCACTCTGCAGGCATTTCATAATTGTCGATAGACCGAGGCATCAAACCACTCTGTTCTGCCTAGATTAGTGCTGTGGTGCTTCACTGAAGCAAGAAGGTGTCCGTGCCTGTCAGAGCTGGA